CTGGGTCAGGAGTTTTGCGCAAATCCTTCTGCCCTTGATTGCAGGAGGGCCCGGCAATATTGCTCAACCTCCGATCTATCGTTGACCAATCCACCGAAGTCGTTGCGGACCGTTCATGCGGCTCACGCCAGGGCAGGCTCCGTACCAAGGCCTTGCCGTCCGGGGATAGTTTCCCAATGACCTGCTCCCAAACCAAAACCCACATCGCTGAAGACTTCCCATGGTTTCTTCACCTTGGCTTAGATATAGTCGAAGACAGGTTGCCAATGAATATCTCGGTTCGACCAAGCAGAGCAGATGGCAATTGCAGCCCTTCAATTGAAGCGTTGCTCATAGACACCGCCAATCACTTAGAGGGTGTGTGACAATTGTCGAAACTTGCATTGGAACAGCTTGGTGTGGTTTGCGGGTAGCCTGTAACTTTGGGGTATGGATCGAAGATCGTATCCCACTGATTTGACCGATGCCCAGTGGGGCTTGCTGGAACCCCTGTTGCCCACGGTTTCACCCAGGGGACATCCCCGAACTGTGCACCTGCGGGAGGTGGTGAACGGCATCCTGTACGTGTTGCGTGGCGGTATTTCCTGGCGAATGATGCCCCACGACCTGCCTCCTTGGGGCACGGTCTGGTGGTACTTCCGAAAATGGCGCAAGGACGGCACTTGGGAGCGGGTTTTGGAGGCACTGCGTCCCGTGGTCCGGGAGAGCGAGGGACGGGATGCTACTCCCAGCGGGGCGATCATCGACAGCCAATCGGTGAAGACCACGGAAAAAGGGGGCCTCGCGGCTACGACGCCGGCAAAAAGGTGTCCGGGCGCAAGCGCCACATCGTAGTGGACACCACCGGGCTGCTCTTGGCCGTGGTGATTCACGCCGCCAACATCCAGGACCGGGACGGGGCCAGACTGGTGCTGGCCAAGCTGCTGGGCCGGTTCCCCAGGCTTCAGGTCATCTGGGCCGATGCGGCCTATGCCGGTCGGCTGGTGGCGTGGGCTTGGGAGACTGGAGGATGGTTGCTGAAGGTGGTGCGCCGGAGACCGGACAGCCACCAGTTCGAGGTGCTGCCTCGCAGATGGGTGGTTGAACGGACGCTGGCCTGGCTCAGCCGGTGCCGACGGCTCAGCAAGGACTACGAGGAACTGCCAGAAACCGGTGAGACTTGGGTTCATATAGCGATGGTCCACCTGATGCTCAAAAGGCTCAAACCAACTTGATTGCACTTTGTCACACACCCTCTTAGAAAAATATCTGGGAATCCCTTTCAGAGGGGCAATCGAAGTACAAATCGCATCAAACGAACCTCAGGCCCCCATAACTCTCAACCGAAATCATCGTGATTTACCCATTCGAGTCCTCCTTAGTGCCCGTCACCAATATTGGTGCCAATACGTATTTCAGTTTGCCCATGAATTTTGTCATGTACTAACCGATTATTATGAGCAATTATTGGGGGAATCCAAATGCGTGGTTGCATGAAGCGATCTGCGAGATAGCTTCCATCTTTGCTCTTAAACGCATGGCTTGCCAATGGCGCACTAGCCCAACCATCCCAGGTTGGCAGGACTACGCGAGGCAATTTCAAATCTATTCTGACGAGAGACTTGGACGACAAGAAGTAAAACTTCCTATCGGAATGGATCTCCTTAGCTGGCTAAAATGTCGTGAAGAGGAGCTTCGGTGCTCCGACGTAGCTGCTGGCCATCAGCGAGTGAATCAGTCATTAATTGCATATATTCTCCTCCCAATATTCGAGGAAAACCCCGAAGGATGGAATGCTATTAGGAGGTTCCCAACGTCCACTGGAAATTTGTCAGGGTACTTGTCGGACTGGCACTCGTCAGTAGATTCCGATGACCAATACCTCGTCGCAACCGTGTCAGACGCACTTGGATATAGAGTCGGCAAATAGTGCACGAGTGAGATGTACCTATAGAGCTTGACCGTTAGCAACGAGAGGGATCTCTTCCAAGATGAGGAAGACCTGCACAGAGATACTTCGCCGATTCTCTACGCCACGCAAATGCTCGGCCCTTCTTGTCTTTAATTTTGGTACACGAAGCAATGGGCCGGGATCATCCCGCCCCATTTGCGCATCTCTGCGCTGTTCCGGGATGGCTACCGGAAGTCCTGCTCGTACAACTCCTGTAGTCGCTGCAGGTGCTCTTCCGGGATCGGGGGCAGATCGACGCAAGCGGCGGTTTCTTCTGCCTCCGCTTCGTTCTTGACCCCGGGGACCGTGGAATGGATGTCGCGGTTCATCAGGCTGAAGACCATCGCCGCCTGCGATAGGGTTTCGATTGGCCCGTCCAGCAGGAAGTCCAGCTTGGCCGCCTTTCGGAGGTCGGCTTCCATCAGCGCATCGCCGGGGTTGGGAGGACGGTCCAGCGCCGGAGTCAGGGCCCCGGCGGCGTGGGAGCGGATGCCGATGATGCCCATCCCCTTGGTCTTTGCCAGCGGAATAATCTGCCCGTTGTCGAAGACATCGGCTCCCGAGGGTTTGGGTACCTGGGCCGTTGTGTTCAGCAGGTTGTAGTAGGCCAGGACCGTGTCGTATTCGCCGCTGTTGAGCAGCCGATGCATCGTGGGAACGTGGTGGTCCATGGCGGACAGGCCGATGAACCTCGTCTTGTTGGCCTGCTGCATCTCCTTGTAGGCATCCAGCACAGGCCCCAGCACGTCGTCGCCGGTGATCGAGTCCAAGGCCTCGCCTCGCCGTTCGGTGAACCGGTTGTGTACGTGCAGTACGTCCACTTGGTCTCGCCGCAAGAGGTTCAGGCTACGTTCCACGGAGCGAGATACGGCTCCCGCCACGTCATGCATATCGTCGGCCCTCAGCCTGACTTTGGTGGCGACGACCACCTGCTCGCGCCGGCCGACCAGCGCCTTGCCGAGCGCTTCCTCGGCCTTGCCATCGCCGTAGGAGGGGGCGACGTCAAAGAACGTGATACCGAGATCCAGAGCGCGGTGAACTGACCTGATGGCCTCCGATTCAGTGGTCGCGCCCCAGACCTGTCCGATGCCTCCGCCTCCGAATCCGGCCCGCGACACCCGCAGGCCGGTGCGGCCCAGTATGCTGTATTCCATGATCCGAATCACCTCCCCCAGAAATTCGGGTTTAGTGGGTTGCCTCGCCCTCCGCCAGCTGGAACAGGATGCCGTGAGAACTGTCGGTGTCGATGTTGAGGTTGCGATATCCGAACGGACTGGCGGCCGGCGCGTCTCCCCGCATCTGGTTGCCCTTGGCAACGAGGTCCGAAAAGACCTGGTCGATACCGTCGACGCCGAAGGCAACGTGCATCACCCCAGGGCCCGTGGCCTGTAGCTGCCGGGCCATGGGCGTGTCATCGCGCAGGGGCTCGAAGAAGTCGACATAAGTCTCGCCGATGCGGTACAGGATGGACTTGAAGCCCCGGTCCTCGAACTCGTCCTTGGACAAGGGTGCGAGGGGAGAAGTTCCGCTCGATGTAGCTCGCCATGTCGTCGATGCTTTCGACCACAAAGGTTACGTGGTGCACTTTGTTCAGCATGCTTATTCCTCCAGCCAAAATGATTTTGAGAGGTCGGGATCTCCGCTGGCCAATCGCAATTGGACAATTGATGACACTTGCCCATTGCCAAGCCTTATATCGCCTCCGTACCATATATCCAAAGTCTTCTGCTTACCACCCCCGTCTTGGTCTATTTTGACCGACGGTGTGGCAGTCAATCAGTTCGCAAACAGGGCCGAAAGTGAGAGTGGGACAAAATGGGACGGAAATTAAAATTTTATGTCCCACAACATCCGGAGTGCGGCCATTCAGCTTTAATTTCGGCATTTTGTCCGCTGGTGGATGGGAAAATTGGGACAATTAGGGACAAAATGGGACAGGTATGGGAATATTCTGTCCCGTGTGTTGGGGTCGAGAATCCGCAGCGAGTGATACAGGTCCAGCACAGTCCTCCCAATTCAGCATCCGGCGGTAGAAGACCCTTGGCTAGATGCGATTGCCCCGGGGATCTCCACGGCAGAAGGAACTCCAGTGCCTGTAGCTTTGCATACTTGGCCGGAGCTAAATTCGCCAAGACGAGGCGGGACAACCCCAAGACCAACAGGCCTATTCTCGTTCAATGGAGCGACAATGCCAATCTTCGCTACCGACGACAACGTAAACATCCATTACCAGGACGTGGGCAGCGGCTTTCCGCTGTTGTTTGCCCACGAGTTTGCCGGTGACATTACCAGTTGGGAACCGCAGGTCAATTTCTTCGCTCGTCGCTACCGGGTCATCACCTACTGCCATCGGGGATACCCGCCGTCGGGCGTGCCGGAGGACCCGGAGGCGTATTCGCAGGACCGCCTGGTAGCGGACATGCGACAGCTGCTGGAGCACCTGGGCATCGAACAGGCCTACATCGCCGGGCTGTCCATGGGGGCAGCCACCGCGCTCAGCTTTGCCATCGCCCACCCGGACATGTGCCAAGGAGTGGTCGTCGCTGCCACAGGCACCGGCTCGACGGACCGGGAGATGCACATGGAGGCGTGGCGACATAACGCCGAGCGGCTAAAGAACGAGGGGATAGCGGGCTTCGCTGACGAGTATGCCAACGGGCCGACGAGGGTGCAGTTCAAGCGCAAGGACCCGTTGGGGTGGGAGAAATTTTATGCCGGGCTGGTGGCTCATTCCGCCCTTGGATCGGCATTGATCACGCAGGGGATCCAGCTCAAGCGCCCGACGGTGTTCCAACTGGAAGAGGGAATGCGTCAAATGACCGTTCCAACGCTTCTGCTGGTGGGCGACGAAGATGATCCCTGCATCGAGCCGATGCTGTTCATCAAACGATGTGTTGCCACCAGCGGGCTGGTCTTCTTCCCTCAGAGCGGCCACACCATCAACTTGGAAGAGCCGGCGCTGTTCAACCGTACGGTTTTGGATTTCCTGACAGCCGTGGAGTCGGGGGCATGGGCAACGCGCGCCGCCTGAGCGCTCCTACTCCTGGAGCTGGGCGACGATCTTGCGCAACTGCTGCTCGTCGTCCGTGCCGTTGACGTCCATTCCGAAGACCACCTCGTCCAGCAGGCCTTCATACCGCCCCTTGACTGCGGCGGCCACCTCGTCGTATTCGACGGCGACCGCGAATTTGTCGAGGATGTCGTCGGTGATCAGGTTGGTCATTTCATCCCACTGGCCCTTGAGGGACATCTCGTGCAGGCGAACTCCCACATCCTCGAACCCGTGCGTTTCAAGGACCGTGGAATAGGTCCGAGTCGACGCATAAAAGGCAATCTGGCGTCGGACCGGGTACTTTCGCTCCTCGATGACCGATTGGTTGGGGCCGGTGATGATGAATCCTGAGCCGCTCAGGTTGACCACATGGGGCTCTCTTCCGGCGCGGCTGGCGCCGTCGGCGATGTGGGGCAGCACTTTCTCGTTATGAAATCAGGCGACGTCAGGGGATGCAGGGATATGCCGTCGCACACCTCACCGGCCACGCGGCAGTTGTAAGCGTTGACCGCGCTGATGAATACGGGCGGCTTCGGATGTTCGGAGGGACCAGGGCTGAAGAAGGGCGTCATCAGCGAGAAGTTGTAGTGCTCTCCGTGGTACGAGAGGCGGGTGCCGTTCTGCCAGGCGTCCCAGATGGCGTGGAGGGACTGAATGTATTCCCGTATTCGCGGTCCGGGAGAGGCCCACTCAGTAGAAAGCGCCGTTCGATATGGCCCTGACCTGGGTTCCCAGCCCCAGCCTGAACCGGCCGTCGGAAAAATTCTGCAAAATCCATCGCAGCGTAGGCAAAGACCATGGGGGAGCGAGGGAAAGCGATGGCAACCCGGGACTCCAGCGAAACCCGCGAGGTCGTTGTCGCCGCCAACAACAGCGGCATAAGAGGGTCGTGCCCCGTCTCCTCCGTGCAGAGGCCATCGTATCCGACGCTCTCTGCCCAGCGGGCCTCTTCGGGAATGCCCTTAATGTTTCCAGTGTTCAAGTGATGCAGGACCCGAAATCCCATCGCTGCCTCCGTCGATTCAACCCTCGCCGTCCCTTGGGATAAGACGGCAAACTACCGCGCCGTGAAACCACCGTCAACGACCAGTTCTGCTCCGGTGATGTAGGATGCGTCGTCTGACGCGAGGAACAGCACGGCGTTGGCGACCTCGATGGTGCGGCCCTCCCGCTGCAGGGGCACGTCGTTGATCAGCCTCTCGCGGCGGGTGTCGCCGCGTTGGAACGAGGTCAGCATCGGGGGCATCATTCCCGGGTGGACCGAATTGATGCGGATGCCGTCCTTGGCGTGTTGCACCGCGGTGGCTTTGGTGAGCAGCCGCACCGCGCCCTTGGAGGCGTTGTAGCCGGGGTGAACCGCTTCCTGACCCACAATTCCCGAAATGGAAGATATGTTGACAATGGATCCGCCGCCGATCTTCTGCATTTCCGTTACGGCGTGCTTGGTGCCAAGGAACACCCCGCGGGCGTTGATGTCGAGCAGGCGGTCCCAGGCCTCGGTGCTGCGGAAGTCTGTTTCTCCGCTGCCGCTGATGCCCGCATTGTTGACCAGCACGTCCAGCCTGCCATATCGCCCGACAACCTGCCCTACCGCAGCGATCCAGGATTCTTCGTCCGACACGTTCAGGTTAACGAACATTGCCTCGCCGCCGGCCTCGGCAATTTCTGCCTCAACGCGGCGGCCGTCTTCCTCCCGGATATCGGCGATGGCCACCCTGGCGCCCTCGCGGGCGAACAGCCTGCATTCGTCGGCGCCCATTCCGTTGGCCCCGCCGGTAACCATTGCTACCTTTCCTTCAAGTCTCATAATCGATCAATGGCCTCTCTTTCAGATACTCAGAGTATTTAACATCTTAATTCTGGCAAATCAACGAGAAACAGGATACCCCAAACGGGTGCTTTCCGCAGTATGCAGCCTGCGGTCAGCCGTGTTCCGCTGCAGGTGGCCCAGCCGCCCTTGCCCGCGGGGCTGCTTTGACCGTCGGCGGCACGCGGCCTGGATGTCCGATCCACGGAAGTGCCTGTGGGGGTTAGTTGCGCCGGCGCCCCAGTCGCGGCGCCCGCGCCGGTGGATGTTCACCGGGGAAAGGGTGTCGACTTGTGGGTTCGACCTTGTCCTCGAGAGTATAATGCCGGCAAGTTCAGGC